CCAACACTTGAAGGGGTGTCTGACTGCCTTTGCTAGCCAAAACGGAGTTGCCCAGTAGCTGGAAGGGTGTCTGACCCTTCAAAATTGCACAAAACAGCAATTTCGGCACCAAAATCAGCGCCTACGATGCCCAAATCAGCACCTGGAGTGGCGCTCAGACCTGCCCATGCACCCAGGCTGCTGTCCAGCTCCCTTGCTGCGCTCCTACTGGCTTGGACATCTCTTTTTCTAGCTTGCACAGCGCTACCCAGTCGCGCGTTTGAGCTGTCCAGCCCATCAGGCGCGCTGTCCAGACCATCCAAGCTACTGCCCAGCTCCCTTGCTGCGCTCCTGCTGGCCTGGACAACTCTTTTTCCAGCCTGCACAGCACTGCCCAACCCACCAAGCGTCACGAGCGCGCTGCCCAGTCCGCCAGACTGCGCGCGCACTGCCCAGTTGCGCGTTTGTGCTATCCAGTCCATCAGGCGCGCTGTCCAGATCATCTTGTGCGCTGCCCAGCTCCCCTACACTGCCTAGTCCACCTCCTTGCGCGCTGCCCAGTCTTCCTGCACTGCCCAGACTGTCTCTCTGCGTGCTGATTCGCGCGAAGGTGCTGTCCAGCGGAGAGGTTTGCGAAACTGAGCTGTCCAACCCACCACCTTCGGCACCTAGGCTGTCCAGTCCACCATTTTTGGCATCAAGGCTGTCTAGGACAGCACCTGAATGGTCAAAGACAGCCTCCAAGTTTCCTAAAATGGTGCCTACCTCCTCCCTTTCTTCAATCTCCATCATTCTCTCTTCAATCGACATTGCCCACTTGAGAAACTCTATTAGAAAGGAAGAAATCCCACTCTTGGAAGAATTCAAGAAGAACACACTTTTCCCTCTCAAAGCTTCAACAAAATGGGTAGGATGGAGAAGAAGACTAGATTTATAGTCTAGGATTTTAAAAAAAAAAAAAGATGGAAAAAGCCCAAATTAAAGATTATGGGCCCTCTTCAAAATAAAGTGGGAAAGGTTTGGAGTTTGCACCAAAGTCAAAAATATACAAATGAAGAGTCAATGCCTCATTCTCCAAGCTTTCCTTGAACACGAGGCATTGGGGGGCAAATGATGGGTCAAGCCCAAAATGGCTCAATCTATGTGCAAAGTTCAAATCTCAATTAAGAAGCCCTACCTCATTTAAAGATCCACCAAACCCAATATAGCCCAAGACCAAGTTAGACTCTTTGCTTAGCCACATCATCAAGGGGAGAGCATGGGAAGCCTTATCTGCACTACCAAAGGAAACGGTCCACCCTCACCAAATCTTTGACCGCGTCTCATGGAGAGCTCCTCAACCACCTCGCCCGTTGAGAAGAGATCGAAGCTCCACCGAAATGGTTGCTTAGTCGCTGGAAAGTAGCCCCAACCTGTTAGGGAGCCACTATAAATTGCACACTCCATCAACACTTAGGAAGGGACTGATTGCTTGGCACCACACCTTCCTTGATTCTCTATTCTCCCTCGAAGCTTGTATTCTCTATCTCCATACCTCTAAATTAATTAAGTACCCGACAACGAAAGCCATTCAAGAGTGGACGTAGGTCGAGTTGACCGAACCATTATAAATCTTGTCTCCTCCAATTCTCTCTTTACTTTTACTGCATTTATTATTTACACTTGACAGGTGGTGTTCAAAACTATTTTTGTGTATCATCACTTATTATTGCTTATGCATCAATCTTTCATGCTATATATGTTACCTTTCTTTTATTTTTGGTTATGTGGAGTATAACAAATTATTGTTATAACAGACAAATCTACATTAATACAAGCCTTGTTTTGGCTGTCTAAAACTTTCAGAATATATAAATATTTTATATGGATTATTTTGGCTTTGGCTTCTTCAATGCTATTTGGAAAAAGGAAAAAAAAAAATGGGAAGGAATACACTTGTTTACGTATAATCCTTAATTACCAAATCATTTGTCATTAATTTTTTGGACCATAACACCATTCTATAATAAAATCTATTAACTAGTGGGCCGTTATAGGTTTGTGATATTACTACTGTAATTATGGTGAAGGTATTGTTCAAATTTTTTGACTTGTCGAAATATAGACTACTTGAATCTTTTAACTGAAACAGTTGTCAATGAGAGCAATTCATGTAGTAATTTAACAGTGAAGTCCACATTGTGCATAATTCCTTAAAAATATTACAGAGCAGCCATTGGTATTTGAAGCTATATTTTTCTCGTTAAATTTAGGTAGCCTATGCGTCTAATATTATTTCAAAATTAGTGAGGGCCTAATAGTGATTTGCTAATTGAAATTTTAGATATTAAATCTAAGATCTATAGGTGGTTATCCTTAGTTTTATTGTGAATGTAGAACACCTTTACTTTTACTATAGATATTATGTTTGAAATTATTGGGTACAAACTTCATTGCATGAGTGATAACTAAATCACATTAGTGAGAGGGATCTTAGGCAGTTTGTGATCATTTTTAAAAAAAAGAAACATTCAACACTAACTAACATTTAGATTCCAACTTTTGACCAGGATGACACCTAAATCATCTATACGTTCAACTATATATTTAGTATTTTATTTTTAAGTATATCGAGTATGTGATTGGTCATTGGTGATATATATATATATTTGCCATTGATTGTACAATGACATTTTGAGTTAACGTTTTTGAGTCGTTCCTGTGATAGGTATGAATTTTAACACTTGCAACACAATGACTTTTGGTGCGAATGATTGGAATGGAATGGAGATATTGGTAGAGGATTTACTATTTTCAAACACTTGAAATTTTTTTGAATATAATAGAGACATTAATCCTATTAAAGTTTATACCATTATAAAGATTTAGATGGCATATGGATTAATCCAAGAATGTCAAAATGCATGATAAACTTCGGAAAGAGCACTATGTTTTCTTTTTGCCTCAACAGACACGAGACATATGGTTTTGTTAATAATGTGATGTCTTTAAACAGTTAGCTTCGGTGTCAAGGTTTATTTCTTATTGATGCCTTAACATTTTAGGTAACCTTTGGAGATAGTTTGGATTTACGTTTTAATGTTTTATGAGAAAGATCGTACATACGAATTGTTCCAAGACTAAGTTCATATTTTTTTTTAGAAGTACTCCTTGAATTCAATTTGTTCAATATGTGATATGAGCCAACAATGGGGCTAGATATTCTTGCAATATGAGGGTTGATGCAAATAGTACTTTAATGAAGTATGGGTCACTTTAGCATGAGAATTCTTGGAAATGTGGGGGTAAATTTTAAGGTAATAAAATATATATGAAGTACCTGCTAAATTTGCTTAATGTTGTTATAAGAGTTTCATATATATGTGGGGGAGTTTCATATCTAAGGGTTTTTCAAACAAATGCATTTTAATGTGTTGTTCGTAAGTGCTATTTGAAAGACAGGTCAAATCAATATCAATGAGAAGATATGAAGGTGTGCACACCCAGCGAGACATGAATATGTGAAGAGTAATCATTCTAATATTTATGAAAGCTTAGCTAAACAGAGCTGACAAATGAATTAAATAGCTTTCGAGGAAAGCTGTGAGACACAAATATATATAAAGGTTATTAATTTGATCAGTGAACTTTCGAGGAAAGCCTTGTTTTTGAGAAAAACTGTCTCAAGTACTATCAAAGGGGATGGGTCTAAGCCCGTAAGGGAGTCACCTAGGGAGGTAACCTAACTTCTGTGATTGGGGACCCCATGAAGGAAGTTCAATGGATAGAAACAATCCATATTGTGTGACTCATTAGCACCGTTATTGAGAAAATATCCTAAGAGGAGATATTTTCATGCTCATCCTTATGGTAGAGGTGTATATGTAGTGTGACGGTAATGAAAGATTTTACCCTGAATGAGACTGATGCAGGAACACTCTTGTAGGGTATTGTGCATATGTACCCTTGGAGGGCTCACCTAAGTGAGAGTAGTCATGGGCCGCGACTATGAGAATTGGGCTATTCTCTATAAACTCTCATGAGAATCAAGATCAAGTGTAAGACCATTAATAGCACTGACCCGCGAATTCTGACCAATAGCGGTACTGTGTGTGTGATAGTTGAACTCTAGCTCAAATGGTCTAGTTCAAGCCTTTGGTCACTATGATCCTTCAGGGGGAGACTGTTAACACTAAGTGAGGTTCAAGTCCGGAAGACACCTACATTCATTGCACAGTATAATAGTTGCCTATATTTTCTGTCTATTACTTTTATATAAATATATTTGGGTCATTTCAAAATTTTCAAAACTTGTGGGGGATTGTTAGAATAAATTAAAATAAAAGTTTTAAAAACTATACAACTAATTATTTTGTATGAATTTTTCAATTTTTAACTTTACTATTGAAATTTAATTCTTACATGTTCATGCCATTTAATTATAAAATTAATATAGGCTTAATAGTTTGGAAGTACCATACTAATATATTTTAAAGAGTAATTAAGATGATGCCTATAAAACAATGTGGTTGTTTTGGATAGAAGATGAATAGTTTTACCATCTTTTCTATATGCTCCTCTTCCACCAAGTGTTGTTATTCTTTCTACATATTTCTTTTTGCCTATAATTACATTTACACACCTACAAATATTTGGTCTTAGTTTACTTCGGGCAACTTCGATTCGAGTCAGATTCATCTTTTCTTCCAGTGGGCGTGACCATTGAGGAGATGCTGTTGCGAGTGTCTGGGTTTGATCTTGGAGTCGCTGATGTCCGTCAGTACCCTCACGCGGAAAGGTTCAGCTACTTTAAGACAGTGTTCATACGACTCTCGGACTCGCAGGCCAGTTTTTTCTAATTTATAATATCTATTTTATTTTCTTTTAAGTACATTGTTATTTTATGTGATATTGATATGAATTTATTAATTAAAATTATTTATAATTATGCTAATTTACCCAACACTATCCACATACAGGGAAACAACCACCAAAGAGCTTGAAGAAAAGAAGGTGAACCGAGTCTTATCGGTCCTTGAGTCATGGACGCTCAACACCACCAAAAGACGAGAGACAAAGTTGAAGAGAAGCAAATAATTGAAGGAACGTCGAAACAAAAGGGCATAGAAAGCCAACAAGCAAAACCACCTTCAGCTTCTTCTTCTCCCACCCATGAATTCTCCTTCACAGTCTCTCTCCACCCAGAGGCCACGAGGATCACTGATAAACCCATGAAAGCCAAACCCAAAGCCCCTCCTTCGTTTGCCATAGATTTATCTCCAGCGGATGATATATTCTTTCATGGCCACTTCCTTCCTCTCCATTTCCTCTCTCACCTCCCTCTCTCTCCTCGTTCCTCTTCCAATTCCTTGGACAGCTTTACCTTACCAATAAGAGACCTGGTAGAGGACCAAAACCCAGAAAACATTTGCACCAACAGCACCAAAATTACCACCAATACCGACGACAAAAACTTTCACCAAAGCAAAGATCATGGGATACTTGAGGGAAGAACCAAACCCAAATCCTTTTCTTTGTTCTTCGGCCTACAAAAATGGCGAAAAGGCCAAGGGTGTGAAGTTAGAGAAAAGGAAGAAAAACAGAGGCAGAAGAAGAAGCTAAAGTTGGACGTAACTCATATTCTAAAGAGGTATGTGAGAATTGTGAGGCCACTCTTGTCCTTCATAAGGAGAAGCGGGCGTCGGAATATGAAATACGCCGGCAAGCTCATTCATTTTCCGGTAACTTAAGGTCGACAGGTAACCCCGAGTTGAGAGGAAGGAGAGGGGAGTTCTCGGCACCGGCGTCGATAAGAACGTCTCCGACAAATAGTGGCTTTCTTGTAGCAACCGGAACTCTCCATACCTCTACCTGTGACAGCACCATGGAAGAGTTACAGGCTGAAATGCAAGCTGCAATTGCACATTGCAAGAATTCCATTTCAAGGGAAGAGAAAATTACATGTATATAATAGATTGGGAGATTTGGAAGTTTTCATTTACCCTTCTAGTGGCTTATGCATATTGATTTTGAAGATGGTTCATGATAGAATTGGTATTAATTCCCAATATAAAGATTCAATATCCATGTTTGTTGTTATAATGTAAACCCACCTAGATAAACCTATAAATAGTGAGTCTATGGTATTAATATTGAATCGAGCTGAACAACTTAGCCAAAATCCGTCAGTCGCACATCCTTTTTTTTTTTTTTTCGAAAAGTAAATTGTATTAGTGAAACCAAATGTACAGGGAATACCCACAAAAAAGAACAGAGAAGTCGCATAGGACTTAAGACCAAAAGGTAAACACAATTCTGTAGGGGATGTCCTGTAAGTGGGTAGGTATCACCCACAGAATTGCAAACAAGGGAATAAAGGTAAACAAATTCAGTTCCGGAACAGCAGCAACCCAGACAGATTGGAATCCACATCTGCGTAGAACAAACCAGAACCCCAGCAACAGAGGAAGAGGCAAGCTGGAAGGCATCAATAGCACACATCAACGCAAACAAGCCATACAACAAGCATTACCACAGTATGAAACCTTTTGTACCAACAGACAGTCAACAAAGCTGAAGGGGCAAAGCAGCAGCATCGGGGAGCAAAACAAAGAATAAGTGCAAGCATTAAGAGCAGGAACATCCCTCCAACCAAGCGCCAGATGTAGGGAACCGAGAATAAGAAGAGCCAGCCACCCTCTATAAAGCAATACATGAACAGGCAAACCCAAAGAAACCACCATGAAGCGCAAGAGGGAATAAATAGAAGTAAGGAAAGACGATCAGCAGAAACCAAAAGTCATCAAGAAAAATACAGAGGATAGCCCAGGGAAGGTAGTCCCATGCCTACCCATGAGACTGCTGAGCCTGGTATAGCAGCTCCGCCTTGAAGGACCAACACAGGTGCAAGAGAAAACCCAGCAGGAAGCAGAACCAGCAGAACCATAATCCACAGAGCAACCACAGGCAACCACAGAGAAACAGTACCGAAGACAAATGTATACATTGATGTATGAACCACATTGAATGAAAGAACCATTTTCCTGAAATGTCTGTTCAAAAATAATCCACCCAAAGAAATCCAGCAGTAGCGTGTGGGTCAAAAGCAACATAGGTAGAGAAATCACCACCCACTAAGATAAAAAGAAACCATAATCCAAATATGAAAAATCAGCAACCTTAACCAGCAGCAACGTGAGGGACATAAGCAAAAAGTGTAAAATAACATCAACAACAGCCAGCATGAAGGACATAAAGAAACCCAACAAATCCAACAAAGACCACCAGGAAGAAGAAACATAGGCAAAAGAAAACAAACAGTAATGAATCCCATGGAATCCCAAAGAGCAGTGCATTTGTAGCAGGAATCAGATACCACAACCAGAACAAGTACCACCCTGAAATCAGTGAGCGCCACAGGGGAGGCCACTAGGAGAGACAACTAGTTGGAAGTCTCCAGTACTGAATAGTATGGAGATTTCTGTAGGAGGGCTTGAATTTGAGGGAAGCCAGTCTACTCCAAATAGTCTGAAGGATAAGATGTGTTGTAGAGTTAAAGTCCTTGAACTGGTTTCTAAATCTTCTATTATTCCTTTCCATCCACAAATGGTAAACAGTGGCAGCCAAGCAGATTCTGCATATCAGTTTCTTCATTGACTTGCCCTTCCATTTAAGAGCATCCCATCAACAAAAACATTCCAAGGCATAGGCTGCCATAACTCCCTAGCACGTGAGAGGGTAGTAGACCAAACACAGGAGGAGTAGGAACAAGCAAAAAATAGATGGGCATGTGATTCGGGGGAGGACCTGCACAGAATACACCCAACCCCCAAGTGAGCAGCGAAGTATTGCATATGGTCGAGGGTGCTGAGTCTGTTCGTTACAGCAAGCCAAAGGATGAAACTCATTTTAGGTATAGAACTTCTGGACCAGACAAGATTATACTAGCAGACAGGGGAATCCCTTGTTCTGATTAGATCCCAGGCAGATTTGGTGCTAAAACCCATTCTGCCATTAGGAATCTACTTAACCGAGTCCTCCCGAGCAGAGTTTGGGGAGTAGGGAGGCACGGAAGTGACCACTTCATGGGGGGGGGGGGAGTGGAATAAAGAGGCCATTGCCACTGGTCATTGAGAATAATACTGTTGACAGGTTCCTCCAAATTGAACATTGCCTCCTCAATACCATTCATACCAACATATAAATCCAGTGGTCCCAAAGGATGCCAATTATCATACCATAGCTTTGCAGTTTGACCATTACCAATCACATGCTTGATGAGTGGCCTGGATGAGGACCTTAATTTGAGCAAGCACAACTAGTTCCAAGAGCAGGTCTGAGAAGCTTTAATTCTCCAGAAACTTCTGCCTCTTAAGTGATAGATATGAACCCATTTTATCCACAAATTTTGTTTATCAGTAAAAAGTAATCAAATGTACCTCATCATCATAGCAATGTTACAATCTTTGATCCTTTTAATACCCAGCCCACCTTCCTCCTTAGGTTTACAAACATCATCCCATGAAACTTTAGCACCAGTGCTTCTCATTTCAATCCCATTCCATAGAAATCTCCTCATAAGTTGTTAAATTCTATCAATGATCTGTGGAGGCAGGAATAAGTGAGCAGACCAATAAGTATGCATGCTGTGAATGACACTCTCAATCTACCAGCAAAGGATAGAAATCTGTTAGTCCAAGAGTTGATTCTCTTCTCAATTTTAATGATGAGCTCATTACAATGAAGGGTTTTCAGTCTAGTGGAGGGAATGCCCAAGTACTTGACAGGGAGCTGGTCCAGAGGGAAGCCGAAAAGATGCACAATTTGGTCCTTAATCTCATTACTGATAACACTCATAAAGAGACTACTTTTAGCCTAGTTTACTTGAAGCCCAGACATAGCTTGGAACTGGTCCAAGGAATCTTTGAATACCTTTGTAGAAGAAGGATCCCCATGACAGAAGAACAAAATATCATTAGCAAACATAATGTGGGTGAGCTTAACATTCTTGCATCTCCAATGAAACTTGAAAGTATCAGTAGAGGAGACTTGTTGCTTAATAGTAAGGGATAATACCTCCATTGCAATCACAAAAAGGTAGGGGATATAGGATGACCTTGCCTTAAGCCTCTCATGCTAGGGAAGAACCCAGCAAGCTCACCATTAACATTAACAGAGAATTTGGGAGTGGAAATGCACTGCCACACCCATCTCCTAATCAAGAAAGGAATCCCCATAACATCAAGAGTGTCCATTAAGAAATCCCAGTTGATAGTATCAAAGGCTTTCCTCAATTCCACCTTGACTGCACACCTAACAGCACCATGATTCCTATGATAATTCCTGAACAATTCTTGGGAGATTAAAATGTTATCACCAATCCTTCTACCTGGAATAAATGTAGCTTGACTATGGTCAACAATATAAGGAATCACTTCCTTGAATCTAGAAGCAATGAGCTTAGAAATAGCTTTGTAGATGGTGTTACAGCATGAGATTGGCCTAAAGTCATTCATGGATGAGGGATTAGGCTCCTTAGGAACCAATGTGTTGATGGTGGCATTAAGTTCCTTAAGAAGCATGCCATGAGAAAAAAACTCCTTAACAGCATCGATGACCTCCTGACCGATGGTAGGCCAAGCTTCCTTGAAGAAATATGGATTAAAACCTTTTGGCCCAGGAGCCTCATGGTCACTCATAGAAAAGAAGGCCCACTTGATTTCCTCACTGGAGAACTCCCTTTCCATATTCCCAGACTGCTGCACAGAGATCCTTCTTTGAATGATAGAGACAAGACTTCTCATTCTCTCACTGTCAGGCATGGTGAAGCTCGGCTGTCCCAAAAGATGTTTAAAATAATCAATAGCTTTGATCTTAACCTCTTTATCACTGTTAGCGAGAGTCCCATCCATTCTTTTGATAGAGGTAATTTTCTTCCTACTTCTTCTATTAATCATAGTCTTGAAAAAGAAGCTAGTATTCTGGTCGCCCTCTTTAAGCCACAGGATTCTTGATTTTTGCTTATATATCAATTCCTCCTCTTTGGCAACCTCAAAATAAGCAGCCAGGAGCCTCTTCTCCTCCTAAATCAGGCTATGGTCAGAGGGATTCCTATCAATATTAGATTGGCAGTTCTTAAGAGCAGCTTTTACAGAATGGACGAGCTCAGTACTATGTCCTCTTTCCTTGCATAAAGTCTTAAAAACGTTTTTGACCCTCTTTAGCTTAGAGGATAGTTTAAACTGGAGAGATCCATGCACACCAGGCGCCCAAGCTTGTGCCATAGTCTCTAAAAAATTATCCTTATCAGCAAGGTGACTGAAGAACTTGAAATGAGTTCTCCTTCTCCAAGCAATGTTACCCAGCTTAACAATAGCTGGAAAGTGGTTAGAGACTCCAGATGGGAGGAACTCAGCAACAACATGTTGATATTTGGTATTCCAAACCTGATTCATAAGGACTCTATCCAGCTTTCTTGTAATAAACCTTGTTCCCTCTCTCTTGTTTCTCTAGGTAAATTGCAAACCAGAATATCTCAGGTCCTCAAGTTCAGAGTCCTGTAAGCAGTCTTCAAATTCCAGCATTGCATTAGACTATTTCCCTGCACAACCCACCGATTCACTAGGGTTCCTTATGATATTAAAATCCCCAAGGATAATCCATGGATCATTATTGAAGAGGGAAGAGTGATATCTCAGGTCAGCCCATAGGGGTCTTCTATCCACCATATTATTCATAGCGTACACAAAAG